TCATCAAGACATCTCCAAGATTATTATCTATCCTTTGTCCTAATTAACTACTGTAATAACATTGCCACCACTGTAATACTGTAATAGCTTGGAACCTACTATCTTAATACAATATTTGGTCTCCGCGACCCTGCAACGCTCGTTTTGCGTATTTTACCTACCCATTTACTATTTTCTTAATTATCGGATTTAATAATTCGGACCACCCGTGTTAATTAAATCTATCGTTGGTGCTTTTATTGAGAGCTCGACATACAAGCTCGAGCGTGTTATTTTCACTAGCTATGACAAGGTCGAGATCCAACTCTCGTAACTCAAACGGTTCCCGCAACACCAGTGTCACCTCACAACGGTGGGTCGGCCCCTACCGCCCCTCCTCCCATGCCCAACGGCTTTTAGGAAGGGGTGTCGGCCATCCAACAAGAAGCCGTCGGGCTAACTCGCCTCGTAGATAGACTCGAGGAGATGATCGCCCCCCCCCCCCCCCCCAGCTCGGCTCGATGCCTCTTAAGGGGTGTCAGCTTCACCTTTGCCCACCTTGCAAGGGCACGGTGAGCCGAGCACCCGACCACCCCGAGCCCTAGGTACTCAAGCCGAGGAGGAGGTCAACTCACCCCATCCGTCGGACAGACAAGGAGGAGGTGACATAGCCGATCCTGACATAAGGAGGCGAGTAGCCGCATGACGGCCCGAGACGGGCTAAGGCTAAGGCCGACCGTGCTAGGATTAGCGTCATGCAAGCAAGTTTCCACCATCTGCACAAACGAACCACCAAGCATGCCTTGGTCCCCAACCCATAAAGATGTCACAGCAAGGCAATCACAAAATAAATGGGTAAGAGATTCCGAAGGAAAAGAACACAAGCAGCAGCCCCCCTCCGCTAACACTCCTCTCGCCCTCAGATTATCTTGGACTGGCAAAAAGTTTCGGATGCAATAGCATAGGAAGTTGCGAATGTTAGGAGGAACACGGAGCTTCCATAGCTTCTTCTATTCACTAAAGAATAAACCAGGCTCCTGGACTAGGAGGTTTTGTGTCTGAAGATGATACCCATTCCGCACAGTATACTGCCCACGTAAATCACCCCTCCAATACCATTCATCCCTGTGTAGAGAAGAAACAGGTGTTTTCAGAATTCTCTCAATATCACCAACATAAAAAATATCACGGAGTAACTCGACGTCCCACTCCTCACTATCGTCCAGAAGGTTTGACACATGAGCCTCTCGAAGCTGTTCAGGGCAGACAATATGGATATACGGATCAACCGAATCTGCTAACCACGGACAAATCCAAACCGAAGTCTCCTTTCCATCCCTCATACGCCGACCGATACCCTGACTACTTAAATCCTGGCTTGCGAGAATACTACGCCATAGGTAACTCGGGTTGTTGCCAAGAGATGCGTCAAGCAAACCCCTCGCGGGATAGTACCTGGCCTTCAAAATCCTGCTGACCAAAGAGTGTGGTTTAGTAAGCAACCGCCACCCTTGTTTAGCTAAAAGGGCGATATTGAAATCACGGATACGCTTGAAACCCAGCCCCCCATAACATTTCGGAATAGCTATACAGGACCAACTAACCCAATGGATACCTGTAGAGTCACACGAGCCCTTGCTCCACCAAAAACGATTCATAGATTTTTCAATATTGTCACACACCGAAGATGGGAGCAGAAAGACCAACATGGTAAAGATCGGCATTGCTTGCGCAATACTCTTAAGAAGCACCTCCTTCCCTGCACGTGATAACAACTTTTTCTGCCACGAGTGGATGCAGTCTCTCATTTTCTGTTCAATGTACCTAAAAACTTGTGTTTTGTTGCGGCCTATGAACGACGAGAGGCCGAGATAACGGCCATAATCAGCTGTCTGCTTCACGCCAATGATGTCTGCCACATGATTTCTCATGTTAAGCACTGTGTTGGCACTAAATGTGATGCAAGATTTATCATAGTTTACAAGTTGTCCCGACGCTTTACTATACATGGTGAGGCAGTTTTTGACCTCTTCGGCTTCACTTCCGGTAGCTCTAAAAAATAGAAGGCTATCGTCCATTCGTAGGCAAAAAAAAAAGATGTGAAACCGACGGAGGCCCTCGAGCCACACTTATACCATTAATATCTCCTCGAGCCTCCTTCTGTAAAAGTAAAGACGAGATCTCCGCACAAATAATAAATAAGTAAGGTGAGAGAGGGTCCCATTTTCGAATGCCACGCGTCGGTATAACAGTGCCTGCCGAATCCCCATTAACCAAGATGGTATAAGTAACAGTAGTCACACAAAGCAGTATCAAATCAACCCAGCCACGAAAGAACCCCAACGCTAAAAGTATGTCCTCCAAGAAACCCCATTCCATTCTGTCGTACGCCTTAGCCATATCTAGCTTAAGGGCCACCCAACCAATATTACCAACCCGCTTTCTTCGGAGAAAATGACCCACTTCTCCCGCTATAATAATATTATTGGTTATCAATCGATCAGGCACAAAGGCACTCTGTGATGGGAAAATAATTAAGTTCAGCACCTCTTTCAATCGGTTAGCAAGGACTTTTGCAAGGACTTTGTACGCGACGTTACACAGTGAAATTGGTCGAAGGTTAGAAACCCTCTCTAGGATTTTCTTCTTAAGGATTAACACCACATTAGTGTTGTTAAACCCTGTAGGCAATTAAGCAACAGTTCGCAAAGCTCGTAGTAACAAAGGAAGTAAGATCATTGTCGACTATTGGCCAAAAAGCTTGATAGAAGGATGTCGACATACTGTCAGGCCCCGGGGCTTTATTAGGTGCCATAGAAATTAGAGCAGACTTGACTTCAGCTGGATCGACGGGTCGTAATAAATGTTCATTCATCTCATGAGTTATCCGTAGAGTTACAGAACTGAGGAAATCTTTGTCACAATCGGCGGCCTGAAAAATATTGTTAAAATAATTAATGATTTCACCGTGCATAGCTTGGCCTTCAACCCAACTGCCTAATTGGTCCTTAATCCTCAAAAGATTATTATTCTTCCTCCTGTTGCTCTTTAATATTTTTATTCTTCTTTGTTTATTTTCTTTAATATTTTTATTTATTTTTAAATTTAGTTTTTTTTTTTTTTTTGTGTTTAATAATATTTTTAGTGTAGTTTTTAAATATATAAATTTTATATACTAATACTAAACTTAATATTATGAAAAATTAGTTTTTTTTAGCGAAATATTTAATTATTTCCTTATTACCATTATTCTTGGTAATTCTTTATAATTATTTTATTGGCGAAATTGATTATAAATATTTATTTATTATTATGACCATTAATATAGATCATGACTGCAATCACCAAGCGTGAATTTACTGAGCTTGTTCTGGACGAGAGAAATTTTATTTTATTTTATTTTCATGGGCTCTTGATGTTGAGATTTATCTCACATCTATGCAACTTGAAGACACGAGCGTTAAGAAGTCCATGAAAAATGCCACCCAGAAAGCCAAAGCTTTTTTTTTTTTTTTTTTTTTTTTTTTACGCCATCATCTATACCTTAACTTGAAAAATAAATACATTACTGAATATGACCCCTATGTTTCATGGGAATCCCTCAAGAACCGTTAATGACCAGCAAAAATCATTGGTCTTTTTTAAGCACAATTTGATTGACTTAACTTGAGATTTTAAGATTTTAAGTCAGTGACGGATTATAAATTAGATTTACACAAAATTGTGTCCTAAGCATGATGTTTCTGGTACGGACTTGATTGAAAATACCTTACTCTCTTTTCACGCAAATAACCTTGTACTCTAATAGTAGTACATAGCAAAGAATTAAGCGAAACATCATGAGCTTATTCCCACCCACCCCCTGCTATTGGTGCAATACCATATTGCGTGTGTCAAGTTGGCCCTGCACAAGTTCCCGAAGCACACAATGTTGCCTAGTCATGCAATGCCAAGAGGGGCTGAGAAAGAGGTAAAGGCCGAAGTGGCAACAACAATAACTCTAGAAACTAGAATAACAAGCAAAATTATCCAACTCGTTGAGGACAACCACCTTCGTACAATTATAACTCTGGCCCAGCAGCAAGTATGCTTCAAGTGCGGGTGTATAGGACATTGATCATGTATGTGCGAATGTGCCACACCCCGAAGCATTTTGTTGAAACTTACCAACAAATGAGTCGTTATAACATGGACCACAAATAAAAAAAAAATACATTATTTGAATATTGAAAATACATTATTTTATAAATAATGTACATTCAGTACACAAATAATATATTTTTAGTAGATTAAAAATATACTTTGTATTCAAGAAAAGTACATTATTTAAGTACTAAAAGTATATTATTTTATATAATGTATATTCAATAATGTATTATTAGTATATTAAAAATGTATTTTTTATGGTTAAAATAGAAATTGTGTGAATCATGTTACACATAAAAATTTACCACTTTAGAGTTAGGAGGGTTGGTCACTAAAAATCGGAACAACAAAAACGCGTGATTCGGGGTAAACCGCGGGCTAGAGTATACTTAAATAAAAAAAAATAAAAAAAAAATTCAAATTTAATCTACACCGCTACACGCCTACAATACACTGGCTGATTTGACACATCCATTGTGAACGCCGTTATGCCGCCTCTGCCGGAAAAGATGGCAACAGCGCAGCGAGGACGAAACCGTGGCAACAATGAACGATTATATATGGCTAGACACATCCCAAGAACTAGTGGACGGAGAAATTTGTAAATTTGTTGCCGTGAAGAAGCAAAGCGGCGACGACAAAAACACAAAAGTACTATTAAACACAAAAATTAAATTTAAAAATTATAAGTAAACAAATACTAATGATAACAAGCAAAAAAAGAAAGAGTTGATTGATCTAAGTATGACTGATAAAATGGGATAAGTAGAGTATCAAACTAGAAAACATGATACTACTTTTGCTATCATTTTTTGACACATCAAAATATCAAATGAATAATTATCGCAATATTTGATCACTTAGAGTGCAAGGGATAGAAGCAACAAAAACAATATTCGATTCTTTAATTTCCATCTTCGTATTTACACAAAAGAATAAAGATACATATTATTCACTTCTTGATGGCAATAGGATACAGATAGAATGAATGAATGAATGAATTAGTTGACTTTAGCCACTGGCTTGTACACTCTTCCTCTTTCATTGTTCTTCTTCCCTGCAAAGACATAATCAACAAAACTATTAGTAATAGACTAAGAAAATGATACAAATATTATAAAAACTGAAGTAGTTATTACTCTATTAGTCATTAAAATATGACAAAGGTGAGGTAACCCAGTCAATGGCTAATGAACAAACTTATAGTAACAAGGCTGGTTACGAGTTTGAATCATAACCCTATGTTTTTGAGCCAGGGTAACCAGCTCTGCCAAGATATATAGGTGAGGATACAAACTTGTAACCACAAGGTCATGAGTCGAATCTCAGTCTTTTTCGTTTGAGCCATACCATCGGGTAGTGACGGTAGATTTCCATCGTTACACAAAAAAAATGACAAAAGGGACTGAGGAACATACTTGGTTTGGATCTTCTTCTGGTGTTGACAATATGTGGTATGAACACCCCAGTTCCATTGAACATTGCTGCTGAATCTTTGTTCTCTGTTCTCCACAGGTCTAGTAGCCACTGAGGCACTTTGCTTCTATCCATGCTGCCTGTCCACTCATACTCACATCCAACTTGCACCACTGACTTGTTATTTGGGCCTCTCTGGTTTTTGAGGTATCTGCTGCTTCCTTTCATTAATCCCGGAAACTCTTCATCATCATCTGCTGTCAATTGTAAGACTTGCTTCCTAAGTTCATCGAAGAAAACGTCGGGCTCGGCGCCACCTTCGAATTCATACCAGGAATTCATGTTCTTGAATTGTAGCTATGAAACTGGCCAAGAGGAGACTTGGGTGGGAATGTGGGATGGTTCATGTTGAGGATTTGGGGTGTGTATATATATGTATTATTGTGTGTGGGGGTTACAGGTTGCTTAGTGTTAATGTGGTATGATGTTTTGGTCAACTTTTGTGGTCTGGTCTTCTGTGAAAAGTCTCCCAAAGGATACAAATGTGAGAATATGTCTCATTCTTGGAAATTTCTCTCTTTATTTTTGTGTGTGGACTTAAAAGTTGGCAGTTGGAACCTTCTTTTACTTTTCTAATTATTTCGCAGTGGACTTCGGTCAGTGACAAATGACATATATGCCGTGTGGAATAATAATAATAATAATAATAATAATAATAATAATAATAATAATAATAATAATTAAAACTAAATTTATGTATACAAATTAAAAAGTGGGCACTAGCCCACTGATGACTTTTAACGTCAGTTATTTAGAACTTTTAAAGTCCGTTAAAAAGTGACGTTGATGTAGGCGACGTTGTATAGTAGTAAACATTCGACGTCGGTTAAATGAAAACTGATGTCGTGTGTGTGTGTGTGTGTATATATATATATATATATATATATATATATATATATATATATATATATATATATATATATATATATATATATATATATTTATTTATTTATTTATTTTTTTATTTTTTTATTTTATTTAATTTATACAACTTACAACGTCAGTTATTACGAAATAACCGACGATGTATACTTATTTTAAAAAAATAAAAAAATAAAACTATACAACATTGGTTATTTAGTAATAACGGGCGTTGTATGTGTTTGTTTTTTTTTTGTTTTTTTTAATATTACATTTATTTATCAATTTAGACTCAAAACTTTCTCAAATTACATATATCACAACCACATCCAAAACCTGTAGAATCTAATATTTTATAATCTCACAATTAATAAAAGTAATAAATCTCACAATTGATACTAATTAATAATACAATTTAAAATTATCAAGATCAATTATATTACTTCACGTACTAAAATGTATTTTACCATTTTTAACCACTCATCAATTAAGAACTTGGTCCATACGTCTCTAACTTGATCAATCTCTTGTCGATTGTAGCTCAATCCACCAACTCTCTCAACGATCTACAAAGTTGATAATTAATAAATAATTAGTATGCTAGCATTTTTAAAATTTGAATAAGAAAGGTATTTTATTAAATTACTTGCCTTATTCATTCCTCCGCATGCTTTTTGGAAAGAATTTCAAACATGTATTTTATCACATAATATCCGCATTCGATATTTCCAACTTGTTGGACACATTACATTCGAATTAAAATACAATTCAAATTTTGTTTAATAAAAAATAATAAAATATATGTAGTTTTACAAATGTATAAAACAGTTACCAAACATTTAATCCATTTTGGTTGACGAGTTGGTTTCTTTGCACTCAACATACTTGTTGATTTCACATACACACCTAAAAATATAAGAGATAAGTATATACATAAATACTTTATGACATCGTACTTTATTAATAATAACTATTAATACTTATTATAAGTTCACATACGTTTCAACTATATATATCTTTAGTGTCTTCACGTGGTTCGCCTCCAATGGAATCAAACCAATAGATTTCATTTACTTGAGGACAAATTGCCAACAACATCCAATGCCCACTACAAATAAATAATTTATTAGTTGTAAGTAAATATAATATATATAATAGAAGTATATTATATATATGTTATTTTATTTGAAACAATTAAAACTTACTCTGAAACATATGGGCCCGCAGTGTTACTGCCGCCTTGCCGTAGGCCGTGAAACTGGACGAGGAGTCCAGTGTGCGTGCGCGGGTGGAGCTGCCGAGGCCGGCGTTGATCGCTTCCCAGACATCTTTGGAGGTGGATTTGCCGACCGCCAGATGCATCACCTCATCCGAGAGGGATGAGATGAGAAGGGAAAGCAGCGTCTGATCTTGCTTGATCCACGCCTTATACGCCGGGTTTGGGACCGGAGTAGAGGTTGACGCCGTGGATTCACCGGTGGCCGGAGGAGCGTCGATCAACACGGGAGGACATGGATTTTCACCATCGACAAATCCCATGAGCTCCTGACCACGTAAAAAAGGAACCAATTGGGTTCTCCAAAACAAAAAATTTCGATATGTGAGTTTTATCGAAACAAAATGATGGGCACTGTTTAAAGAGTTTTGGCTTGAGGCCGGAGAGGGGGTTCCACCGGCGGTAATGGTACGCTCGGAAGAATTGGTGGACATATCGACAATTAGTCGATTGTTTTGGGGAGAGGATCGACCGAGGGTGGTGAGCGGAGAGAGAAAAAAAAAAAGTTCCCTGGTCTAACTGATACCAGATGAGATAATCAGTTTTCCATTCAACATTAACAACGATAAGGATTATAATTCAAATACTGTAACAACTCTAAGTAGCCCCTATCAACTAGGAAGACTAAGCCTATTACAAAGACTAGTCAACATAACATTAATAATACTAAACTAACAAAGGTAATAATAATAATATTGCTAACAGGGCTAAATAACATTGTTTTTGTCAATATTGCATGGTGACATTTATATACCATATTCGTTCATCTCTAGTATTTAATTTTGGTTGAATCCAATGTGGATCTAAGAAGCCATATATGGTCTTTGATGCCAAACCAAATTCGTTATAAAGACCCCTATTCAAAAATACAACCAATCATATATATTACTAATATAATAGTTGAAATAAAAATACTATAAATAAATAATAGTAAAGAACTTATTACCTTATAAAGAACTGCAAACAAGAAATATCTAACATCTCCATATTTAAGAAACGCATAATTTCCAACTGCTCAAGATGTAACTTATATTCAATATCGCTCACAATACCACGACGCATATCCGTCTTCATATTCCGTACTAATCCGAGAAGTATTCATCCAACTTTTATCCATAACAAGTCAATCTAAAATAATATTAACCCTAATTAAACTTTTGTTAACATTGATTCAACAAATATCTAAAATAATAATAATATAATATCTAAAATTGTTGTGGTGAGAGTAGACTAGGTAGTAGTATTAGTTTTTCGGTACACTAGGTAATGAATACAAAGGCAAGTAGATGGACAAAATAAATTACTACATAGTGACTTAATAACATGGTGGAACATCATGTTATTTAATTCTTACAAAATATTTATTGATTTATATTCCTAGTAATAAATAAACATTTCTTTCAAGGTTCAACCATGCAATTCCTAACACCAGGATTATGTGGTCCAATGGTACCCGGGTTGGACTTCCATTTGGAAGGTTGTGAGTTCGAGCCTTAGTGGAGGCGTTATTAGCTCTTTGTGTTTCAGTAGGTTGAGAAAGTATATGAACAGATACTACAATGTAATAGAGCTAGTAGCATTCAAAAAAAAAAAAAAAAAAAAACCATGCAATTCCTAACAATAATTCTTAAAATAATTCAAAATATAATATCAATAAATCCTAAAATACAAATAAATCAACATTATTTACTAAAATTCGAAATAAATTAATAATAATTTAAAATATAATATCAATAAATCCTAAAATACAAATATATCAACTTAATAATTCCAAATATACAACCAATAACTTATAAAATTCAAAATATATACCTAATAATTCCTAAAATTCGAAATACATTAATAAATAATTCCAAATATAATTATTGTACCTCTAATAATTCAGAAATTGAAATAATAATTAAAAAATAAAAAACTTACAATGGCTTGCGGCTGAGTGGCGGTGCGTCTGTGGTCTGGTGCAGTGGATGCTGTGCGGTTGGGAAGAAGAAGGCATCGAAAGGAATGTCGGTTGCAGTGCGGGGCGGTGTGGCGGTGGCTGAGCGAAACGAAGTCGAAGGGATTTGGCGGTGTGCGGGACGGAGAGTTTTTTTGTTTGGTTGTGCGAAATGAAGCCAATTTGTGAGGCCGTGGAAGTTTAATAAAACCCTACAACGTCGGTTAATAACAAAACCAACTTCGTAGGTTAATCGATTTAAAAAAATAATAATAATATACGACATTGGTTTGAGAACAAACCGACATCGTATATGAAATATTTTTTTTTTAAAAAAAAACTAAAATAAATTACGACGTCGGCTATATAGATAGCCGACGTCGTATTATAGTCTCTTTTTAAAAAAAAAAAATTATAACATCGGTTATTTGTAAATAACCGACGTTATATGGTTTTTAAAAAAAAAATTATAAATTGAATTAGGATTTAACGTCGGTTATGTAAATAACCGACGTTATATGTGAATTCTATAGTAGTGGGGGTGAAAATGCAATCTTTTCAACATGTATGCTTATTAAGATTCTTGAATTTTAATAGAAGCATGCCTTTGGTCAAAAGATCCCGTAACATCAACTTAGTGCTAATGGGCTTAATGATCACTATCTTATCTTTAACACACTCCCAAATGGTTAAAAACTTAATGTCTATATGTTTGCTTCAACGCCTACTTTTGTCATTTTTAGCCATGAAGCTAAGATTGCAACTAAGTTGTAACAGTAGACTTTCAACGACTTAGATATATATATATAGTATCCACAATTCTAAGCTCGAAAATAAAATTCTTGAGCCATACAGCTTCTAAAGTAGCATCAAAATAGGAAATAGGAAATGAACTCAACTTCTAAGATACCAACTGTACCACCCCCAATTTTCAGCATAATTTAAAACCATTAAAGCTTAAGAAATAAAGGCAAAGCTATCATTAATACCCAAACAGAGCGGAAGCTAAACATCAGTGTTCGGGTGCTATGCCACATCTAAGCTAGAGAACCTAGATGCACAGGCTAAAACTAACTAAACAAAGCATAATTCATAATCATTATCCGAATACAAGCATGGCTCACAGGCCGACTAACTAAGCTAATACTAACTAAGCCAGGAACCGCAGCTCCTTCTAGAAATCATTTTGTGTTCGCACCCGTGGGAACTGCATATTGAAGCTATGTCATGTTATGAAGAATGCAAAGAATTTCTAAATGCACATGAAATTCAAG